GTGGCCAATTGGGGAGTTAGGGCTATTGGACATATTACCACTTTGATCCTTGGTAGAGTGGTAACCTATATAGAAACAAATTGTACATTTTTGTGTCATTGCAATAAGCCCTTTATTTACAATGAAAGTTGGATACATGTTTGTAATGTGAAAGAAAGACCTATTGTATTTTAACAGAAACTCTCCTTTTGTAATTTCATTTTTCCTTGGTTTTGAGAAAACATTTTTGTAGGATTGTGCAAACTGAGGAATGTCAGTTGACAATGTTATATGTTTTTAATAAAGGATTTTATACTTTGTACCTGAGCTGTTTTGATTACATGAAAATTTCTGATTTTCATTTTTAAATTTAATTTAATTTAAAAATAAAAAGCAATTCGTGCTATGGTGATGTTACATATTTATTTACTTCTTCCTACAGAATGTCAGCACCAAGAACGGCATTATGAAAGGTGTTGTTATTTTAAAGGCGAAAAATTGGAGAAAACCATTTAGTGAGATTTTATATGGTGAGCAATGTGAGAATAACAAACTAACCCCTTATTACCACCACCATACATGGACATAACTAGACAGCAAAGCTGACAAATATACAGACACAATAAAGGAAACAAGGCAGCAAAGCTGACAAATATTCAGACATTCAGATGCAGAAAAGAGTGCACCAAATAATGTTTTGGCCAATTTTGATGCACTATTACATAATAGTTAATAATTAAAATAGCATATCACTCTTACCCTCTTACATTACGTACTACAGGTAACATGGATATTACAAAACTAGCAAGTAATTCAGTTTCATGGGCTATAAAAGCCACTGAAAATGCTAATGTGTGGAAAATAAAATATATAAAAAAAATTCTTACTGTAAATGTAAACCAATCATGCCGGTTTTCAAAAACAACCTGCTTCTTTACCACAAAACCACTCAGTAAATTTAATGTAAAAGGAAAATACAGTTTGGCAGTTGTGGGGTGAACATCACCAAAATTGTGGGGAAAAAAAAAAAAAAAAAAAAAAAAAAAACAGAATAAATAGTGTAAAAGTATACCGATCATACAGATGAATGGCAACCTACCTCTTTACCAAACAAGGCCAATCCTTAAATTTAAAGTAAAACAAAAATATGATTTGGAGGTTATGGGGCGAATGTCACCAAAATTGTGAAAAAAAAAATGAATAATTCTTTACCAAACAAAGCAACTCGGTAAATTTAGTAAAAGTAAAACAAAAATAGAGTTTGGCAGTTATGGGGCGAATGTCATGATGGACAGCAACAGACAAACAGAGCGATCAGAATGTGTACAGACACTTAGTGTCTGTAAGTGAAAATGGTCAAAACATATGTATCATGTTTTTCATATTGCTCTCAATAGTTATTTTAAATTTGAAATAAATAATTTTGTATAAAAATTGCATAAGCAAAAATGCATTGAGTTTTGCAACAAATTTATACAACGAAAAAAAAAATTGTCGAAGGCATGGTGTCTCTGTAAAAGTAAAAATATTTAAATTCTGCTGCTTCTTTTGATATTAGAATCTTAATTTTCAAACATAAAAACTTGTAAAATAATTGGTTTGACTGCCACAAAAGTATCTTTTCTTTGAAAGAAGCTGAGCCACAAGTAACATTTCAAAAATCTGTTCATCTGGAATCAAATGCTAAATCAAAACAAATAATGTCAGTTTTCACAATTTAATCAGTTTGTCTTCATACTGTGTGAAATTAAAAAGAAAGTTTAAATAAATAGGCTGACATACTTTCCATCTTTACATGAAAGGGTATTTGTGAAACTTAAATACCAACCAAGTCATCTTACTGTTAAACAGTTTGATATGTCCCTGAATAGATAAACAATGTGGCTTGCAGTTATTTCTGAATAGATAAGTTAGGCATGAAACAATAACATACCACAATTCAACAAACAGATGAAACACCTGAGTGTCTTGATTTAGCATAGCTTATTAGGTCCATTTAGTGTCATATTCAAGCAAAGACATTTTAATACAATGAAAAAAATACATGCTCTGGAATATAAAAGATCTTACAGCTGATGGTTAAAATGCTGGTATGAAAAGAATGACAGTAGCTGCCAGAGTAGGGAGCAATCCCTGACTCACAACCATACATTATGAGAATTATAAAAAGGATTCCATGCCTATCCATGGTTTTGTAACAACATGGTATTAATATAATATTAAAACCTCAAAATAGATAAAAAATTAAGTAAGGCATGGAAAATTCAACATCCACATCTTTGTTGTCTTCAAAATATTTTGGTAAATGAATAAATATCCTGTGGTCATTGTTGAGGCAATTTGTCACAATATGGCAGCCCTGCGTCATTGATGGATATGGGAAGAAAATAGTATAATAAGTAAAACATTGAGTGCAGAAGTTAACTCTTAGCCAGTCATGGTTATAAATGAAAGAAAAAGTCTATGAAGTGGTATGTTGAAGCAGTTATCATGCCATATAAATAAACATATTGATGTTGTCTTCGTCCCTCTTCATATACTTGTGTTCAATAAGCCACTCTATTTGTTCTTTTATCATCTTCTTTGATGGCAAAAACATATTTTTAAGGATTTCAACCAGTTCAGTCTGAAGTGCTGCATTTGTTATTTTCTTTCTCATCTTCATGATTTTAACAATTGCTTCCTGAAAATAGAAAAGACAATCTCAACTAAACATGTCATAAATCTGAAAATTTTAATTCCGTCAACTTTATCTTAGTTTCTGGCACAATGCAATGTATACTTAAAGATTTCCAAGGAAAACTGAAGATTGACAGAAAATGAACATCAATGAATTGTTCTTACAACAGTCTGAAGACATTCACTAACCTGAACTCTGAGTATTCTCAGCTGTACGATTCCTTCATTGTCCTCTTCTTTACTCTTCTCTGTAGACAGTTGCAGTCGACCAATAACATTGATTTTACCACGTTTTTGTACTTTGCCATTTTTTCTGAAAAAATGTTTGTACACACACAGTAGAATTGATACCATTAGCTGGGGTGTATACTGTGTCAAAAATTTAAAAGAGGCATGAAAATATTTTCACTTTTTTAAAAATATGCTTAGTTTCTGTGACATTTTGATGAGCATACAAACAAACTGCAAGTAAAAATACATATGTTGCAGTGTATTTAATGCATAGATAAGAGACTGCAAATTTTATTAAGAAATAATTTATGAAAGTACACTTACATAAGAGAGAATTGCTGGTTAACATGAAACAATGTGCTATCTCCGAAGTCTTTCGGAGATTTAGCCTCGGGTTCACATAATAGCACCTGTCTTTTTAACTTTGGAAATGCCACTAAAGACTGAAATATAATTTGTTTATGTTTGTAAATGCAATTTTTTTATTTCTGTAAAACAAACGCACATGGGAAATTAACACAAGGATAGTGACTATTATACTTGATTCATGCCTAAATGAATTTTTAAGTTTCTAAAATATATTTTCGATCTCATATACATCATCAAATCTCATATACATAAAAATGCCATTAAAAAATAATAAATGGCATATAATAAGTACAGAAAAAGATTATTTTTGATTTGCCTTACCCATAGTGTTCTCCTGAGTTCAGAGTCTGGAAGTTCAGTTGCTAGTTTCAAATTTTCATACGTAATCTTCTCCTTGGACCTCTGGTTCCAAGCAAATAGGACGGCCATTTGAAATGTGGTCACTTCCACATCAAATTTCCCTACTTCATTTGTAAATGTTATCTGGAACGAAGAATAAAATCAGTTTTTCTGCAATTGGAGACATCAGGTTCTAAAGCTCTGTGCAAGTGAATTAGTTTAAAACCACACTTATACAGGAATGTAAGAAAATCATGTTACATTTCATTACAGATTAATACTACAGTCCTGCTCATCTCTGATGCCACTTACAATGCCATTTGACATGAGATGATGCCATTGTAGTTTTCTTCCACTGTGTTTTAATCTGTAAAATTCTTCCACTTCAGGTATATAGTCTTCTAGCTCCATGGGCAAGGACACAGAAACACGGTCACTACTCCTAGCCCAAGCACCAGCATTCAATATCTTTATGTTTATAGATTCTGAAAGGAGCATTTTGAACCAAAGATAAGTACAAATATATAAATAATCACTGAATAAACTTAATTATATCTATGAGAAATATTATTTCAGTTACCACAACAAACTGGATTACAACATACATTACTACATATACATCGATAAAATCTGAAAACTGCCACCACATACCTGCAATTCCTTCATTGTTGTTTCTGTGAGCTTCTTTGAATTCAGTGTTTAAATCTTCACTGACTTTAATATCTTGGAACATCCTAGCTAGTTTATTTACATAATCAGCTGGCATGCCAACTTCCTGAAATGTCAAAAGCAGGTTGATATGTTTGTTAATTTATGTACCAAAATCAATGGTTCATAGTACATTAAATGTATTCACATATAAAATACTCGAGATAGCAAAATTGTATCAGAATGTACTGTTTTCTATGTTAATATTTTCATGGAATTAACTAGAAAGCAAAGCATTTATGTCAAAAGGAGATACAATAATTACCCTCAACCATTCCACCATGTTTTCTTCTTTCTCATTATCTGCGGAGGTGTCTAGGATCAACCTTCTTGTTAAATGAGCTTTATGGTATCTCATGAAAACATCTTTGTTTTGTACATACTTTAAGACTAAAAGCTGCAAATAATACAAAATCAAATGGAAAACAAGGCAGCAAAGCNACAGCATAATCACTCTTACCCTCTTACATTACGTACTACAGGTAACATGGATATTACAAAACAAGCAAGTAATTCAGTTTCATGGGCTATAAAAGCCACTGAAAATGCTAATGTGTGGAAAATAAAATATAAAAAAAAAAAAATTCTTACTGTAAATGTAAACCAATCATGCCGATTTTCAAAAACAACCTGCTTCTTTACCACAAAGCCACTCAGTAAATTTAATGTAAAAGAAAAATACAGTTTGGCAGTTGTGGGGTGAACATCACCAAAATTGTGAAAAAAAACAAAAACAATAAATAGTGTAAAAGTATACCGATCATACAGATGAATGGCAACCTACCTCTTTACCAAACAAAGCCAATTCTTAAATTTAAAGTAAAACAAAAATATGATTTGGAGGTTATGGGGCGAATGTCACCAAAATTGTGAAAAAAAAATGAATAATTCTTTACCAAACAAAGCAACTCAGTAAATTTAGTAAAAGTAAAACAAAAATACAGTTTGGCAGTTATGGGGCGAATGTCGTGATGGACAGCAACAGACAAACAGAGCGATCAGAATGTGTACAGACACTTAGTGTCTGTAAATGAAAATGGTCAAAACATATGTATCATGTTTTTTATATTGCTCTCAATAGTTCTTATTTTAAATTTAAAATAAATAATTTTGTATAAAAATTGCATAAGCAAAAATGCATCGAGTTTTGCAACAAATTTATACAATGAAAAAAAAAATTGTCGAAGGCATGGTGTCTCTGTAAAAGTAAAAATATTTAAATTCTGCTGCTTCTTTTGATATTAGAATCTTAATTTTCAAACATAAAAACTTGTAAAATCTTGGTTTGACTGCCACAAAAGTATCTTTTCTTTGAAAGAAGCTGAGCCACAAGTAACATTTAAAAAATCTGCTCATCTGGAATCAAATGCTAAATCAAAACAAATAATGTCAGTTTTCACAATTTAATCAGTTTGTCTTCATACTGTGTGAAATTAAAAAGAAAGTTTAAATAAATAGGCTGACATACTTTCCATCTTTACATGAAGGGTATTTGTGAAACTTAAATACCAACCAAGTCATCTTACTGTTAAACAGTTTGATATGTCCCTGAATAGATAAACAATGTGGCTTGCAGTTATTTCTGAATAGATAAGTTAGGCATGAAACAATAACATACCACAATTCAACAAACAGATGAAACACCTGAGTGTCTTGATTTAGCATAGCTTATTAGGTCCATTTAGTGTCATATTCAAGCAAAGACATTTTAATACAATGAAAAAAATACATGCTCTGGAATATAAAAGATCTTACAGCTGATGGTTAAAATGCTGGTATGAAAAGAATGACAGTAGCTGCCAGAGTAGGGAGCAATCCCTGACTCACAACCATACATTATGAGAATTATAAAAAGGATTCCATGCCTATCCATGGTTTTGTGACAACATGGTATTAATATAATATTAAAACCTCAAAATAGATAAAAAATTAAGTAAGGCATGGAAAATTCAACATCCACATCTTTGTTGTCTTCAAAATATTTTGGTAAATGAATAAATATCCTGTGGTCATTGTTGAGGCAATTTGTCACAATATGGCAGCCCTGCGTCATTGATTGATATGGGAAGAAAATAGTATAATAAGTAAAACATTGAGTGCAGAAGTTAACTCTTAGCCAGTCATAGTTATAAATGAAAGAAAAAGTCTATGAAGTGGTATGTTGAAGCAGTTATCATGCCATATAAATAAACATATTGATGTTGTCTTCGTCCCTCTTCATATACTTGTGTTCAATAAGCCACTCTATTTGTTCTTTTATCATCTTCTTTGATGGCAAAAACATATTTTTAAGGATTTCAACCAGTTCAGTCTGAAGTGCTGCATTTGTTATTTTCTTTCTCATCTTCATGATTTTAACAATTGCTTCCTGAAAATAGAAAAGACAATCTCAACTAAACATGTCATAAATCTGAAAATTTTAATTCCATCAACTTTATCTTAGTTTCTGGCACAATGCAATGTATACTTAAAGATTTCCAAGGAAAACTCAAAATTGACAGAAAATGAACATCAATGAATTGTTCTCACAACAGTCTGAAGACATTCACTAACCTGAACTCTGAGTATTCTCAGCTGTACGATTCCTTCATTGTCCTCTTCTTTACTCTTCTCTGTAGACAGTTGCAGTCGACCAATAACATTGATTTTACCACGTTTTTGTACTTTGCCATTTTTTCTGAAAAAATGTTTGTACACACACAGTAGAATTGATACCATTAGCTGGGGTGTAAACTGTGTCAAAAATTTAAAAGAGGCATGAAAATGTTTTCACTTTTTTAAAAATATGCTTAGTTTCTGTGACATTTTGATGAGCATGCAGACAAACTGCAAGTAATAATACATCAGTTGCAGTGTATTTAATGCAAAGATAAGAAACTGCAGATTTTATTAAGAAATAATTAATGAAAGTACACTTACATAAGAGAGAATTGCTGGTTAACATGAAACAATGTGCTATCTCCGAAGTCTTTCGGAGATTTAGCCTCGGGTTCACATAAAAGCACCTGTCTTTTTAACTTTGGAAATGCCACTAAAGACTGAAATATAATTTGTTTATGTTTGTAAATGCACAATTTTTTTATTTCTGTAAAACAATCGCACATGGGAAATTAACACAAGGATAGTGACTATTATACTTTATTCATGCCTAAATGAATTTTTAAGTTTCTAAAATATCTTTTTGATCTCATATACATCATCAAATCTCATATACATAAAAATACCATTAAGCAATAATAAATGGCATATAATAAGTACAGAAAAAGATTATTTTTGATTTTCCTTACCCATAGTGTTCTCCTGAGTTCAGAGTCTGGAAGTTCAGTTGCTAGTTTCAAATTTTCATACGTAATCTTCTCCTTGGACCTCTGGTTCCAAGCAAATAGGACGGCCATTTGAAATGTGGTCACTTCCACATCAAATTTCCCTACTTCATTTGTAAATGTTATCTGGAACAAAGAATAAAATCAGTTTTTCTGCAATTGGAGACATCAGGTTCTAAAGCTCTGTGCAAGTGAATTAGTTTAAAACCACACTTATACAGGAATGTAAGAAAATCATGTTACATTTCATTACAGATTAATACTACAGTCCTGCTCATCTCTGATGCCACTTACAATGCCATTTGACATGAGATGATGCCATTGTAGTTTTCTTCCACTGTGTTTTAGTCTGTAAAATTCTTCCACTTCAGGTATATAGTCTTCTAGCTCCATGGGCAAGGACACAGAAACACGGTCACTACTCCTAGCCCAAGCACCAGCATTCAATATCTTTATGTTTATAGATTCTGAAAGGAGCATTTTGAACCAAAGATAAGAACAAATATATAAATAATCACTGAATAAACTTAATTATATCTATGAGAAATATTATTTCAGTTACCACAACAAACTGGATTACAACATACATTACTACATATACATCGATAAAATCTGAAAACTGCCACCACATACCTGCAATTCCTTCATTGTTGTTTCTGTGAGCTTCTTTGAATTCAGTGTTTAAATCTTCACTGACTTTAATATCTTGGAACATCCTAGCTAGTTTATTTACATAATCAGCTGGCATACCAACTTCCTGAAATGTCAAAAGCAGGTTGATATGTTTGTTAATTTATGTACCAAAATCAATGGTTCATAGTACATTAAATGTATCCACATATAAAACACTCGAGATAGCAAAATTGTATCAGAATGTACTGTTTTCTATGTTAATATTTTCATGGAATTAACTAGAAAGGATAGCATTTATGTCAACAGGAGATACAATAATTACCCTCAACCATTCCACCATGTTTTCTTCTTTCTCATTATCTGCGGAGGTGTCTAGAATCAACCTTCTTGTTAAGTGAGCTTTATGGTATCGCATGAAGACATCTTTGTTTTGTACATACTTTAAGACTAAAAGCTGCAAATAATACAAAATCAAATGAAAAAAAATGTACACCACCCTAGTTTGTATATCATGACTTTTAAAAAATGCCACTAAAAATACAATTTTACCAACATCACCCTAAGGAATGCTAAGAACAGTATGAGAAATGCCAAACTAGCAAAAGCAGTCTACAAGATGTTAACAGATCATACAGACATTTTTGTGGAGTTGATGAATATCAGAGAAGGAAGCAAAGAAATAGACATATACAAAATACTTACTACATCTTTCAATTTCCTTTCTACCTCCTCTGAAGTGAGCTTTTTACTGAGAGGTGTCTTTCTTAACAACATATCACAGTAGTTTGCCAGCAGCTCTGGGCATTTTGATTCTGGTTGCGTTTTGGTGCCAACCCTAAATAATATCATGTAATAATAACATTACAGGGAAATCCAAGAATGGAAGATGACTTTAAACAAAAAATTAATAATATTACCTACAAAAAGATAAAGCAAAAAATCCTGATAAATTTCCTCAATGTAAATTTCTTACCCTTTGTTTTTCACTGGTAAGTCCAGTTTGAATATTTTGGTATCATTCACAACTTCCCTGTAGGCCTAGAATAAGATAATATAAACAAAATATAGAACACCAATACTTTTTCAATTCAGTATATCAACTGCAAAACAATTTGACAAATAAAAACGCCCAGGTAAGTCAAAGTAGGGGAAAAAATCCATTTGTAGGTAAGAATACTATTTTTTACTTCTGACTGCTACTGAAAAATTATTCAATTGAAATCTACCCTCAACTGTACCTAACCTAAGTCTGTCATTCTACTTACTTTGTCTCTGGAAGTCAAGAATCTTGGATCATCTCCAAAGGCTTCACTAACAAGCTCACTAAACTTGTTAAACAAGGCAAGCAGTTGTTCAACATATTTTTCAGAGTCCTGAAAATATCGTAGAGAACTTCGATGAACATGTTTGTCAAATAAATTTTTCCTTCATACCAATGATCGGGTTGTCTTTGAGAGTTTGGATACTTTAAAGTTAAAAGACAAAGTATGTAGCAAAGGAACCCTATACAGTTTCTTACTGTGGTAATGGTGTCGGCAGCATCCATCATATCTGCCAGTCCAGCATTGATCACATGTTCCTCTAAGTAACATAACATTGGCTGGATACCATCTGGTACTCTGTCCATTAAACTGAACATCAAACGGAGTTCTGAAACACAGGAATGCAAAAAGGTGTAGCATGTAAAATTATACCAATTTGTATGTCTTTTCCTAGTTCTTTACTTGTCTCTAAATTTCCGGGAGAATAATAGATATAATGCTTACTTTCTGTCTCATTTCTCTTTATCATCCCTGGTCCTTCTGCTAGTATGGTTTCTTTAAAAGCAGTCACTAGGGCATTTACACAGCATTCTGTCAACTGAAATGCAAATTATTATATCTTTTAATATACTTTAACATTATAGAATCATTTTAGGTTTCATTCATTACTTTCCACTACAGATATTCAAAAGAATATCCAAGTGATATTAGTCTGCCCATGGTATTCCATGGTCACTCAAATAAGGTTTATAAATAAGTTTACATAAATAAATGTTGTCAAAAATGCAGTTAATAGCAAAATATGCTGGTTAAAAACCAAAAGCATATTCTATTTTGTCCAACACATAACTGCAAGAACTCACTGCAGCTACAGAGTTGCAACCCTTCCTAGTTTCCAAGTATCTCTGTGCCCTTTGTTCTTCTTCCTTCAGTTTCATCTCTGCATATCTCATGTAATTCTGAACTCCATTGGCATCTAGATATTGTGGAGCCTTGGCTTTGTAGAAAGAAGCTGTTGCATCCAAATAGGCTCTTTCAAAATTGTCTCTGTATATTTTTAGTTTGTCTTCAGCATCTGAACTCAGGTTGACTAAAGGACAAAACAAAGAAAGATTTAACAAAAATTAATACACATATTCCTAATAGTATTATACAATTAAACATTTGTATGGTAAGCCTCATAAATTTGATATACAGATGAAATCTTTTCAAAATGGAAGAAGCAAAAATGACAAAAGTTGAACTGTTTCTGCTGATACTTTCTTCATATCAGTATAACAACAAAAATGATTCACGTAAAACAGTGTTTCAGAAAACAAAATTAAAGATGCATACAAAGTCAATTTTTTGTCACAAAAACCAACCAAATGCCAGCATATAGTTTCAAGTAGTATAACTAAGAGAATTACCAAAAGGCATTGTTTAATTTTACCCGAAAATGATGTTTGAACGGATTTTTCTGCTGGCATTTTAAGCTGTATGTCAATGGGGCAGGAAAACAGGTCACGAAAGTAGGTTATATTTACAACCAAAAATTTAAAGAAAGGAGCAGTCTAAAGGTCTTTCATGGCTGATCGAGTAATCTATTCAGTTTATCTCTTGGCATGTCGAATTTATTTGAGTCATATAAGAATCTAGTAGAAGTGGTTTACATGTGTTACTGGGAATCCACGCTCCATCGATGCTCGGTTCGTATGTACCTTTAAAAATTTAAAACAGTGATAAAATAAATTAATGATTTAATAATGAGCCAAATGTTGTAAGAATTCTATACTCTGTTCACACTTGTTACATGATTATTCTTATCTTACCATAAGATTCTCTGACTCCAATCACTAGCTGCGAGTCAAATGCCTCCCCATTTCTTTCTGCATGCACCAATTTCATAGCACTTCCCTGTAGCCTGTGTTTGATGTTGGAGAAAATGCTCTGGTTCCAACTATCTAACATTAACTGAAACATACAAATTTTACTTGCTTAGCTTTTCTGTGTATGGGAGGGAGGTAGTGTTCATCATGACATGAAAGCCTGCTTAATTTGATACAATTTCTTTTACAAGCAGAAATAAGAACAGGACCTACTTTTCTGACTATAGATTCTTCCCCTTGATTTTTTTTCTGTATTGTGCTGTGTGGCTTCCCTGAGAGAGAACTCTCTAGCTGGCCAAAGGGCTTTGGAAGATAATCACATTGCGCAAAAAATTTACTCCATTCTGCTATGTAGGCTTTCAATAACGCAGAGTCCTCCTGATGTTGGAGTACCCTCTGAAAAGAAAAGCAATGTAATCAAGGCAAGGCCTAGAGCACTGTTTTGGTCACAAACAATACACTAAAAAGTCCTTTTGCCTAAGGACTTGCTAGAACTTTCTGGTATTTTCTAGTTCGCGTCTTCTTAATCTGCACCATTTGAGTGTGTTTTGAGATTAAGAAGACGCGAACTAGAAGATACCAGAAAGTTCTAGCAAGTCCTTTGGCAAAAGGACTTTTTAAGTATGGTCTATTTGTTCACATGGCATTAATCTGCATTACCATTCCATTTAACACTTGGAAAGTGTCTAAGAAAAAAAGCTGCTGTTCCCTACATTTATCATTTTATGAAGTACATAAATTCCAATTTCTATTGTCTTGCAATAGATTTTGGGGTCTTTTAAAATAAACCAAACCATAATGTTATGGTCTTAGAATTGAGATTAAACAAAATTTAAAATAATGTGTGTCTGACTGGATAAGTGAATGTTACTTACTGTCTGCGCCTGTTTAATGAACTCTAGAATATCTGTCTGCAATGCCTCATGTACCTTATTAGGTCCTTTGTCATCCCACAAACAAACTGAATGGACAGACCTACAGGTAAAAATTAAATTGAAACAGTTATTCTAATGTTGCAAATTAATATAATAACCCTGCTCTCTTTATCATATTGTACCAATTAAAAATTAAAACCCTTATATTAAAACCAGCAATAGAAAAACCTTGAATAACATGATCAATCTATAAATTTCACCATGATATATACTTTTAAGCCACTAACCCGAATTCAATAATCTATATAGAAAATAGTCCTTACCAAAATAAATCTTGCCATTCTGCCCTTGTCACAGGTTCTTGTCTGAGCAGTTTGAGTACAGTGGGGCGCATGGAAGGCCATTTATCCTCAAACTGCAGCTGACCTTGGCTCTGAATATAAAATAGTATTATATAAAATATATTAACATTAGTGAATTAATAATAATATAATGCTGAATTTAATGTGCTTGCAGTAAATATTAAAAATAAGTGTCACAGTTTTGAAGGATATATATATATGTAATTATATGACTGAAAGGTAACACTGTTTAAACAATATGTATTGGCTATTATATAATTAATACAAACACTGTAATGACTGACACTGCTTTAAGAACGACGGCCTAATGAGATCAAAGCAAAATTGTTTTATATTTCACTTTGACTTGAATTACTAATAGTATTATCCCTTCAGGCTTCACCAGTGATTAAGAAGCACTATAGTGGGGTCAACTCTATAGACTTTTTTGTGTTAAGACCCCCACTGATACTGGAGATCACGTACAAATATACATAAGTACAGTAAATGACAGAAAACCTATGGAAATTTGTTCACAACCTTCCCTGTACAGAGTTTGAGAAGAAACATTTTAACTTACCTTTAGCATAGCCATTTTCTTCCTGTGTTCTTTTCTAGTTCTCGCGAGATCACGTTGGTATTTTGGGGGAGATAGCAAGAAAACATCAAAATAAGGCAGCTTTTAGTTATTTTTTTCAGTTTAAGTCCCAAAACAGAGTCTTTTTTGGTTGGTAGTATAAAATCAGTTACAACAATAAAGTTAAAACAGCTAGATATAGCATTTTCCCCTTTGCATCATTTTAGTATTCCTGAGTTTCTTCTCCCCGTGACCGTGTACATAATTCAGCATCAAAATGGCGGACAAGGTAGAAAATGTACAGGCTGAGCATGCTGGAATTCCTAAAGCAGTTTTCGTGGTGAGTCTTAGAAGAATTCCTTCTTTTATATGATGCGATAAGTTAAGATTGATATTTTTCTTGACATAAAAAAACAGCAGCTGTCTGGAAAACTTCCTTTGGCAATATTATTAATGATTTTGAAGCCTATGTAAAGGTAGTTAGGGAAATTATGATAAAATTTAGTTAAAATAACAGTGTCAAGTTCTTTCCTTATATAGTTATTAGCCTTTATGTTGATATACTTAGTGATTTGTATTAACAATATGGTTTCAACATCATGCTGTAATTCTGACACTTTTGATTATATAAATAAAAGTATTTTCACCCTTTGCTTCACTCTAACCAGTTGCTTACATACACAGTGTATTATTTTGCCAGTGCTACTTAATTCTAGCAATTCTCATGATCTGTTGTTCAACACACCTTCAGAAACCAATGATTGCAGTTTATTTTTCATTATGCTTTTTTCTCAGTACAAGAACTGAATTGCTCTTCTCAGTGACCTGTTAATGTCACAGATTGAGAACCAGGCAGTAATTAAAAATTTGTTTGGATTGCAATCTGGTCTGCAATACTTGAGAAGTATGTCTAGAACAGGATACTAATAGGTACTAGTACAGGTCTCTGAGCAAATTAAACTTGTTTCTAATTTAAAGAAGAATAGGTAATCAGCTTGACTTACTAAAGCAAAATGGTCCTTTAACCATAAATAAAAATATAATAGGATGTCACCACCCTGCTAACTTGTTAAATAGATTAATATTTTATATAGAACTTATAATGATAGTCACTTTCTTTGACTTAATGAGGATGGCCTATGCTGCTTGGACACCAAGAGTGCATTCCCAGAGAATTAGATTGATCCATCTAGATCGACCTAACTCCCTGGGGGTTCACGCTAAATTGCAGTCAGCCAAGTGCGCACGACAGTTAATTACCCCCTTACAGCTTTTAGTAGGCAGGACAGACGCTTAAGCCGGCTAAGCTGACAGTAATCTAGTGAGACTCTCCATAGGGACACATCAATCTAAAATCTGTGGGATGGGGTTTAAGTCAGTACAGAGAATTCTTATTATTAAAGAGCCCCTATTTTCACAGTTAAGACAGACCAGTGGTAGGAAGTGTCATATCAAGTTATGGGTGATTAGTTTACAGCTTGGTTTTATCAATTTATTCTCAACTGATCCATCGAAAGATTTGAAAAAAACTTGCAATAAAAGAAGAAAATTGGTCCAGGTGTTTAGGCAAACAGCATTGAAGATAGTAAAAACTATACCCCGGTATATAATTCCTTAAGCACTTACTAGTAATTGTTATTTCAAATTTATATATATTTATTAAATCACACTTAGTATTTGCTTTGTATTTTATGATTGCAGGAAGATGTAGATGCATTTATGAAATTGCAAGAAAATGAAGTTCCAGAAACTGTTCTTAAACGATTAGATGAACAACATAATAAATACAAGTTTATGGAATATAATCTTATGACAAAAAGAGGCAGGTATGTAAGAGAGCCTTTATTTTTGATAATCAATATTATTAAATGTTTTGTTACCTAATTAAATTATACACATCCATGCACACACACATTGATATTGATGGACTGATCTTTGCATTTTCATTTCTTTGATTCAGTTGAAAATGTTTTTCCTATTTCAGACTTAAGAGTCAAGTGCCAGATATAAGAAGTACACTAGATATTGTCAAACATATGATTTCAAAAAAGGTAAATTTATACATTTTAACTTATTTTGATATTTAGATTTTAATAGATGTATATAAAGACTTACAAAAATTTTATAAAAGAAAAATTTTTTTTGCACGTGCCTAGCAGTATGTGTATGCCTTCTTTTTTTTTTCATTTGAATTTCAGTTGAAGTAAAATGACCAACTTATTAATGTAATCAATATGTGTAATGATAATTGTTGTTCAATGTTTACCTGAAGATATCATTAAGGTTGTTATACCTTAGATTTTCTCTGGACATAATTGAAAACACATCTATTTTCTTTTTCAGGACTCTTCTGAAACCCTGGAGACGAGGTTTCTTTTGTCTGACCAGCTATATGCAAAGGCCAAAATTCCACCAACAGATAAAGTGTGTTTATGGTTAGGGGTGAGTGTCACTGCATTTTTTTTTTTTTTAATACAGTTTCATACAATTTCAAGTGAATAAAATTTGGACTATCAGAGAATAGAAATGTCTCAGATAATTTGTGTGCGTCATTATGAGTCATTTTGAATTTATGGACTACTTCATGTGTAAAATGATGTGATATATTGTAACAGTGAAATTTGTTGATATTACAGGCCAATGTTATGTTAGAATATACCATAGATGATGCCGAAGCACTTCTAACCAAAAATCTTGAGGCAGCTACTAAAACACTAGCTCAGGTAGAGGAAGATTTGGGCTTCCTGAGAGACCAAACAACAACAATAGAAGTCAGTATCCTTTTTGCTGCCAAGATTATGAGAATTTTATGTATAACATTTTTATGTATAGCATATTCGAAAATGGTTGCCATATTCTGTGAATTAACTACTGGATGAATCAATTTTCACCCAAAGCACAAGTTTACCCTTGTTCTGGTTTTTGCATGCAGTAATTCCTTAACTGATGCTCAGACATGGCACGTGTATATAACTGGGACGTTAAGCGCCGGCAAGCACTGAAATCTGCTACTGCTGCACCAACCCCCACTGCTACTCCATCCTCCTGATGATTGTCAAGACTTTGTTCTGAGCTAGTTTGTGAACAACCGTACACCTCCTGGCAATTTTCTGAAGGTTTTACTGAGTAACACCCACTCATCTTTAGTACATAAACAGTCATGTCAATGTGTGCATGTGTCACAGCACTTAGACAATTTTTTTTTCTCATTCTTTGGAATGCTAGAAGTGTTGAAGCTTTGATGTAGTTGATGGAGCAGAGAATTTGGACAGACCCTGGATGTTGAGGATTTGCACATTGCCATGAAGACTGAAAATGGCAGTCAGACCTGCATTCCATGTGATTTTTTTCTTCATGCATTGTTTTGGGGAGACAATTACAATAATTGGAGTTTCAGTTTAAAGTTCTTTATGCTAGGTAGACATAGGTCATATAAGAGAAAAGGCATATGATTTATCACATGAAAATGCTTCACTGACCTAAAATCGGGTCACACGCAAGGGATGTTTGTTGATACATCTTCATATGGCAGAGGCAATGTCCAGGCATGAATTTTGTGATCTGAAGTCCTAGTAAATTTGAGCATTTGTTCATCTGCAGATGTACTCTGTTTTATTAACAGAATCTTTTGTAATAAATTTCTCTACCAGTGTGCTTCATAACATTTGTTGTTATTTGGAAAGAGATGTTAAAGGAGGTGTGGAATTTACTTTCGGAATATGGCCTGAAACAATGCATTAGGTAAATTCACTGCAATGTTTTCAATATCAAATTTACAGTTTTTTTTTTGATTCAATTTAAATTTACTTTTTTCCTTGAGAGCACGCATGCAAACAGATAATAAAATAATTTCTGTTAAACACTGCACATATTTGAAGCATTTATTGCATAAATATAGGCAAGCTATTCCTCATTTCAGAAGTTACTATCACAAGCATTATTACTAATACGTAGTTGTAATAAAAACACTGGATCACATTTTTCAATATTTTTTGAAGGAAACTGCAACAGAGAAATATGTATTTTATCAAATTGTATTTTTTGATAAATATCCTGTTAGGATTAAATCTACACACGTTCTTCACTATTGACAGTTGATGATTGGGCAGGTCTGTAAACAAGGAAGAATTTGAGTATGGATCTGGTTTGAGGAACTGCATTTTTATCACACAATAATACCGTGCCCCTAGAGCAGTTAAGACAAGCACAGGGAGAAGACAACAAGCCACACATTTCTTGTGGAAGATGCAGGAGGCTTACTTTTTGTTTAGAGCACATCTCGGATCAAGTGAAATTGAGTTGTTGATTTTTATTTCAAAATGAGAAATTTGATACACATTTTGCCTTGAGAACAAAATGAGAATAAATTGATTTTTGAGTAGTTGGTATTTGGGAAATATGTATTTTATTAGGCATTTCTTGTTCTGTTAAATAATGTCATACCATTTAAAAAAGAAAAGTTCAAGGTAGTTGCCTCTCAAGCACTCAAACAAAGTTATCATTTAATTCAAAAATAAGTTGAAAATTTAATTTTCTCTTTAAACAGATTAGAGGTAGAGATGCAGGAAAACTTTTGCCTGTTATCAGTTGGAATTGTTCTTACAAAGAAATGAATAATCACATTTTTTCACATTGCAGAAAGGAAAGGATTGGTATGATGGAAAGATGGAGCCAAGATTCACAACCACTAAAGAGCACTGTTTGGCTTGTTGTTTTGAAGGAAGTAAAATATTCCTATATCCCTGATCTATTATAAGATATGTCAGTAAATTATCACATATATAATATTGAATAGAGAAATCTACAAATAAAACCATAAATAGCAGAAATTGCATGATATGCATTTTCAAAGAAACATAAAATATATATTTAAATGATTAAATAGCAAATGTTTATTCTTGACAGACTCTGAATGGCAAGTTCAGTTTTTATCACTGAATGTCAAGAAAAATCAAGATGATACTAAAATTGCAAATATGGCAATGTCTTCAGGCAACTTGGAACCTTTCAACTTTTGTATTTCAGTGCAAGTCTTTCCGGGCCAGTTCTTATGTAACTTGAAAAAAAAATTCACCTCGTTTCAGTTATATTTTGCACAATGTTCCCATGTTAGATGATGCAAGTTTTTACTGATGTTCTGCCATCTTTGGGCCAAACATTGGACCCTTGTAGTCAGGACGGTGTCTTGCCTGAAAATATAAATATTAGAAATAATGAAATATTTTATTTCTCCTATAAATTGCAGAATTGTCCATGATATTTAGGTTTTATAATTTTTATGTACTAAGCTCTTAACAAATGCCATTTTTTTTCTTCTCCATGAACACCGTTTTTAAATGGGTAAACTGTTCATGTGGCATAGTCTCAGGATGGGGTGCATTTTAGTGAAAAGCTAGATATACAATGAAACAGAAATAATATTAAGTCACTATTGATTGGGGTTTTCTTTTATGTTGTCATTGTTTTCTACTGTATTCAGGTGTACTTGGCCCTTACTGTGCGTCCTAGTGCCATGAGAGTCATGGTAACCTGGCTTATATCTTTCTTCTCCCAGAGATCTACAGTTTGGAAGACATCCTCCTCGGGGACTCCATAGTGCTTCAGTGCCTGCTGGAATGCCTCAATGTTCTGCATCAGAGTGAATGCCCCGCCCTTGGTGTGGATTCTCTTCACACTCCCTGGGGCCAAGGCGTTGATTAAGCTGGGAGGAAAAGAAAGTTGGGGTTGGTTTTGAGGTGTGAGTGTAAGAAAAATATGCAATAATACCAGTGCATTAGGAAAGTGTAAATTTCTCTCCCAGAAGTTCTTTCTCTTTCATGAAAATGGTGTTTCTCTCTGTGAGGAAGGACTATTTTGGGAATGATGATTCATGTTACAAATGAGGCATCAACATTTGTTTTAACCTTGCTTAAAATTGTTTATTTTGCAAATTAAATGTTCACCTTTTTTTCATTTGCATAACTTATTTCCTTATTTTAGATAATTATTAGGTATTTATTGTTATGCATAGTGTTGTTTGTTGTATTTGCCACCAAACAGTACAAATAGGTATATTGAAGAGGCTGTTTGTGATTTTCTCTTCTTTTTTTATTTTGTATTTTTTTTTAATGTACACAATAAAACTGTTCCCAGGCTAAAAAGAATTTTACTTGAAATGTGAAAAATTGAAAGAATATATGATGGTGTTCATTTTGTTTAGACCAAGAGACAAAACGTGGCCTCTAAAATTTTTATTAACAGGCAGTTAATAAATATATATGCTGTGTTTTCTGCTGAATTAATGATGCTCATAATGACACATGAAATGTTCTGTTCTACATAGTTTTTTAAATTTATGAACATTTATTTTCATAGAAAGCATGACAGAAATCTCGACTCAAGGCTACTCTGTACCAGAGGCCAGCTGGGTTTTGATGTCATTTTGTGCAAAATTCCTCACATGACAGAAATGCGAACTGAATTAGCCAGGAAAATATCTGCATATATCTGGAGTCAAAAGATCTCTCCTGCCCTGGTAAAGGTAATACGAGGCCATGCTAACTCTGAACTGATGTAATATTATGGAGTTCATATACGTAAATGATTTGACACAAAGCATTTCAGGCCCCCAAAACTTGTTTTTGGAATGGCAATTTTAATTTGACTAATATTCTTACAAAGGTTAATAACATGTTTACTGCTTTTTTATGTTTTTTTGGTGTGTTTGTGGTACAGGAGCACATCATACTGCTGATTTTAATCTCACTTTTGATATTTCATCTTCACCTCTCCACCTCACCCATGTAATTATTCAAGGCACTGTATCCACATGCATTTTCCTTTTATTTATTTACATATTTATTTTATTTATTTATTTGTGGTCCAGATTGTAATTTTCATTTATTGCCATAAACAACCCCTGCGCATGACCTTTTTTTTCTACAAGGTGAAGTTGGGATATTTCAGATGTTGCATACAAAAGTCATGAAAGTTTTATACTTAACAAAACTGACTTTTTGAACACGAACAGTGCCCTTTAAGTTACTCTGATAAGGAAGAGTAAGCAACAGAAAGTGTGTAAAACAAATTGGCATAACTAAGGTCATGATTTATTCGTAACTTAAAGTAATTTGGATTTCTTAAAAGAAAATAATTTCTGTTATGGTTTTCAAAATTTAACCAAATAATTGTTAATGGTAACCAAAATGAAAAGATGAAATTTTCCTTGAGAAAAATTAGTAATGCACAATGTATGAAAGGAAAATTTTGATAAACTTGGGACTGTGTCAATATTTGTTTACTGCTTGTGTAACTATTTTAGACAACTGAATTTCTAAAGGTAGTTTATATTTTGATAAAGCATGACATAAAAGGTAGAATGAGATATCCATGCATTAAAAGTAGTTAAAACATTGATAAACAACTGGAACTTATTCCTGTAATAAATATTTTTAATTTTACAACAGGTATACCCAAATGAAATTTCTTTTAAGCATAAGTGTTGAGCAATAGTGTTATTGAATTGATTTGCTGAATTGACACAAAATGCTGTAATCATTCCTGAAAAAATCAAGCAATGATGTCAAACCATTTGTTGGGTTGGGCTTCATTTCAGCTTAAGGGATGCTGTAAAAGAAAAGAATAAAGGAGTAAATGATAACTGGAAGAAAACTGCTTGAATTGCTGATTTTGTGCCCCAGTGGAAGGTTAGTAAAAGCCATTCGAGTCCGACTATAAGCATAATTCTTTAGTAATTGGTGTACATATCTGAGCCCTGGCTGCAAATTTAAACTGTTGTTAATAGGGTTAAACAATTTAGCTAATAAAAAAAAATGAAATAATAATAATAATTATAAAATTGTTAATAAAGCTTTATTTGGCAGATATTATTATTGCTAAAACAACACTTTTTTAAGGGTGAGTGCAGGTTATAAATTCCCTTAGTAAAGTAGTTCCAATGTGTAAGTGGAGCAGCATTTTTTCAACCAGTCGTAAGCAGTTTGTTGCATGTGCTCAGAGGTGTGACTGCCATGGGCATGCACATAGTATATCACACCAAGCATAGGTATATGCAGAACAAAGCAGTATCTGTGCTCCACGTGTCAGGAATATTTGAATAAAATATTTAGGTTGGAAGCTGAGGCAATATTGAATAAAGGGGCGGAATTACCTTGTGTAAAATAAGTGAAGACGCATAACTTTCATGCCAGTAACCAATAGAAAAGGCAGAACTGTAGGATTGTTATTTAGGGTATTTGTTGCAGAAACAGCAAAATGCTATAGGAGATGTTAAGTAAATGGGGCACTTTTGTTCTGTGAAGACACTAATTCATCTTCAGGAAAATTCATGATAATGGAGAAAAACTTGTCAAAAATATTCCAGTGTTTTATGTAGATTTCTCATGGGCATTTAAACTTTTAAATGGGAGACTATATATGGCTTGGGTATTTTTCAGATTTTTATTTTTTATTTAATTAATGTGTGTTTAGTTAATTTTTTATGTGAATTGGATTTTATGTTACTTGCCATAAGCTGAGAGAGAATAGTGTCCAGTAAGATCTTAGGAACAGGCTGGTACGAAGAAAGAAAAGTGTTAACTAGTTCAAACATTTTAATCATATAAATAAGTACTGCATTGAATATGATGACAAACACGAATAAAAAATATCAAGACATTGGAATAGCAAGTAATTTGCTGATTTATTAAAACTGCTTCAAGGTAATACAAATGTTTTCTTTTTTCTTCCCTTCCAAAAGCAGCATGTAATAAAATATTTTACAAATGATTTACAAATGATGATTCTAGAAATTGTAATGTTTTCATAATGCATGGAAGGGGTAATTTCAAATTGATTATATACCCAGATTCTGAGGTTGTCTTAAGCATTTATTTGGTCTATTCCTATTTATTTTTCTTAAAGAGACAGAGTTTATGTTAAAGGTTTAAGTCCCTTAGTCTTAAAAGACACCAAGTGCAAAGTTCAGACAAATCATTCTGTCATCTTTCTCAGCACAAACAGTTTCTAGTTCTAATCATAAACCAATATCCATGTTGCTGTTGACAACTATCTCCATGGCAACTTTAAACATTCTATCTTTAACTGGTAACAATCTCCTCCCTTCAGGGAGCTTTGTGTGCTGTCAGAGATGAGAGAAAGCCTCCGAGATATTGATGACCAAAGTTTGTTCGGTGTGGTACATCTGTCTCTAAGCTGCAAACTGCAGACTTAGTGAGGTTTGGGTCCAAAAACGGGTCCAGAGTAGTCGGACTTTGTCTGTGCCTAGAAAATAGCAAATATCTAGCAGTATAATTACTAAATTCCAAATGTAGGTGTATCAAAATTACTATGTTTATAGTGTTGTTATGGTTACAGTGATGTCCATCAAAATGTATGTCAGAAAACGCCTTGTTATTTTTCATGAAAATCCCATATCACAAGACAATACTGACACTGATAGATGCAATATGAAAGTCAGTCAATATTGTTAGAGTTTTTAAAATTCCATGCTTATGTTGGCAGTCAGTATAATGATGATGTCTCGGGCAGAATGCACAGATGTTCATATAGCGTGCTATCATTGGCTAGTCCACAATGTGGCGCGTATTTCCAATATTCATGCCAGACTGGCTTGCCCCCTGATTTGAACCCATCTGCAATCCAATAATTGTTTGTCCTGCTCTCATTTGCTCATCTGTAAATTGGCGAACATTCTTTTCTGCGGGCTTTGGTCCAAAAATGGGTCCTTTATATTCAGGATGCCTTTGGCACTAGAAAAAGGATACATGCAGCCTGCTAGTATAAACTGTTAGATTATACAACAAAATCAAACAAGCATGTTCTTAAAAACAATATAATTAAAGCATTTGTTTACAATACTGAATGTGGCTTGACTATGGGAAAATTGATTTCATCAGTTCAAACAATTTAGAGATCGATTTTGACAGAATACCATCTCTAAAAGATTTTATGAACAACTAAACCAAAAATTTTGAAATAATGCCTCAGAATTGGAATTGAAAGAAAATAGAGAAAAAAGTTTGAAAGAATTTGAAGATGAAAAGAAAATTGTGTACAGTGGAGCAGATGATATTCATTGGTCTGCCCTGATGAAATATGAAGGAAATTGGTTGGGTACAACAAGCAGAAAAAAATGCCTACTATTGTAAAAAAAAAAAAAATAGAACAGTAAAAATCAAGGCGTTTTATAATGAGCTAAGCTAGGTACATTTCTATTGCAAAAAAAAAAAATGTACAAATAAATGATTACTGTCATTTCTTAAACACAAAATTTCTAAATTCAATGATTATGAAAAAATCCTATTTTATCCATAACATATTTCTATCCACTGAAGCCAGGTTTAAAAAAAGGGAAAGTGTAGACAGTGTTGTGGAATGAAATGAAGTAAAAGCTGGCATCATGATCCATGCAGTATTAGTTGGTTAGTACAAAGCAGAGTGCAATTTGAAGTTGTGAATGCGTGGACAATAAAAATTGTGACACGTATCTTGCCGGGAGAAGGAAACGAGAATCTGCTTTTATTACCATCGTGATTTAAAAAAAATACTTACACATGTGCCCAAAGCCTGGAGTGCATTTGTTACAGCGGGGATGTTCCTCTTCTCCCACAAGTCTACACTCTGGAACAAATCCTCCTTGCGGCAGCCGTAATCAACACATGCTTGTGTGAACTGCTCAAGGTTGGCCATCAGCAGGAAAGCGCCACCGGATTTGTTCACCTTTTTCACTGAGCCTGGTTTCAGTGCGTTGATCAGGCTGAAAAGCAGAATGGAGCGTTTGCAGGGACTCCAGCATACTCTTTATGTTGAAAATACATATTAGTAGTCAGACTTTTTTTTAAAGTTGCCAACCACACGAAAACATAGCATACCCACTGCAACAATGCGTTCTGCAACGAAACAGCCATTGGCATTTGTTCTCTTGCACTAGAAATAGTAACGTCTTTACGAATACAATCTATTTTAATGTGCAAAAATTAACAAGGAAAAAGTGCACGATAAATTATAAAGGCATTGAATTTGTCTTGAAATTCATTTACGAATTATTTGTCCTAGTTATCTAGGGAGGCACAAAATGTCTATACAATTTCAAATTTGACAAGACCACCGATTTATCACGGTCTGCCTGTATTTGGCAGGTATTTGCATTTTACACAAGTCATAAAAATTGGTTCATATATAAAGCGTCACCAAAAAAAATAAATCCTTGCAGTGAAAAGCCGTATTTAAGTTTTTTTTTTTCAGTTCGATTTTGTTCGATTTCACAATGAAGGTTTTTGAAATTAAATAATTTATTTGTACCTCCCGTGAAATGAGTTAAACTTTTTACCTCAACTCAATTATTTACCAAAAAAAGCAATTCACATTAGTGCAAATGTTCTGAAAACAAACGGTTTTTAACAAACGATACGCTTCTTTTTAGTCAAGCATTCCAATCGCACTTAACTCCCATTATACGTTTAAAATATATTGCGTACTAGAATGGAATCTCAGGATAGATAACAGCAGTATTGAAGTATTCATTTCTTAGCATTATTCGTAGTTGTACGGGGATGGATGGAAATCACAGTGCAGCTAAAGCCCATAAAAAGCAATTGGAAATAAATAAGATAGGCAGATGATTTTTTCCAAAACCCTTTCTTATGGGTCCTGATAGGGATGCAAAGTGACAAGAGACGACATGGCCAGCATTCAGTAAATAAATCCCTGGAGATACTAAGGTGGTCTGAGTAGCTAAAGTAGAACTTAACCACTGAGGAGATACTACAGAGAAGTCTTGCCGGAGACTAGGGTGCTTTGAAGAAGCTAAGCTCTAAAAAGAGTCACTGCACTACAAAACTGGATCTCGAAGAGTCTGGAACAAGAATGGTGTACATAATAGGTCACGATGGAGGCACTGCACTACACACAGTTCAAAATTCACTTACCATTTTACCTATCAGGCTTTACACAGGCCTCCTACGTGCGTGCCCTCCAGCTAAGTGGTCCGTTCACGTGTGTGGAATAGCCGTAAGTCTTTAAAGAATGAAGAATGGGCTGTAAAACCTTTTTTCTAAATGTTATTTATTTCGAACAAGTTTCGAACGATTTACATATACAGAGGGAGTTCAAATATATGTGCATTGGACTTTTGCCGGCAAGGTGTTTGCGCAAGATTGAGGACGGCACAGGTGTACTGAAAGTTGCCTAATTACAACCAAATTTAGGTAGTCGTCTAGGGAATTTTATCTCTACGCAACGGGAAGATGTGCACACTGGGGCCCACAGCAATCTGAAGGGTGGACAGGGATTTCCTTTTCCTGAGCAGGGGCAGAGGTTACAGATACTGCTTTGCGCATAGGATAATCATTTCGCAATCCATCGGGATTTTATTTTCTTACTGTTGGCTTTTTAAAGGTCATTTTTTTCATCGCACCTATTTTTATAGTGTAACGTACGTTAATACAAACAGAGCGTAAGCCAAGCGACACCACTTTCATTTGCATGCAAAGGAATGTATATGACCAGTAGATCTAAGAGTATAATGCGAAATGCTCAGTGATAATTTCATGTATAGTCATTTGCGCTCTGGCGATTCCTTTTTGAAGTTCGTTTTCAGGGTTCTGCATATATTGCAATATATGTATGTAAGGGAAGTGAATAAATAAAAAGAAAAAATTATTGTCGCGTTAGAAGCTTGAACATTTCACTTAAAGCTATTGTTATCAATTATTTCACCACAAAGTAAATATTGTTTCCTTGCAAAAATAAATAAACATAAAATAAGGATTATAAAAAAAAGATATACATTAATATATAAAGATCTCCGACACTTCTGGATGTAACAAATGATAATGAAACACTGGTTCATCATAACTTAACTTGTAAAATCAGTTTTATATTCGGAGATTAATTTATCATGGACCAAAGGATAAAACAACTGAAACGTTTAGTGTTTGATCAGTAGGAAAGCTGATCTTTGAAGAAAAGAACATTTTGTCCTGAAGGGTGCGCACGCAATATACGCATTGTTTTCAAAAGTTTTTTTCGTTGCATCTCTTTCATTTGTTACTCGTGCCGTTCAAAAAAAAAATTAATAATAATAATAATAATGAAATAAAATAAAATAAAACGCGTACACACAGACACACACACACACAAAGAGCAACACTCAGTGCAGAACATATCATGTGGTGTACCCATTGGTGTGGTCATTTTGTGTTGTTCATTCAAAGGGACCGTCAGTCGGATTTACGTGAGGAAAGAAAAGAAAAATATCTTTGTGTCACCGAAAATCTCATAGTGATTAGTTACAAGCACTTGATTGAGTATCAAAAGAATGACCTGAATATACATAGTAAGGCAATCCTAGTATTTTTACTACGGATGTAGCTTCAGTGCAAGGTGATTTCATTACTGACAAAAAGTCGCACCATGACATTGAGAGTAAAGTGCACGTTTAAGACAAAACCCTTACGGACGGTCCCTTAGGCAGGGCGGAGAGCGTCCACTGTAAATTACCAGACAAAATCTCAACAATATGGTACAAATAAAGGAGGTTTGAAAATTTGCATTTATTGGGGTTTACCCTCCCCCTTCCCCCGAAAAAAGAGGGGTTATTAATACACTCTCCGCCCTTAGATTAATGGCGTTTTCATAATATTTACTAGACCCCGTGCGTTCGTGTTGTTGAGGACATCTGGATAAGGGAGCGATGTGTGTCGTTTGCCTGAAACACCTGAAAGGTGAGTTAAAGGTAAGCAATGGACAGGAAACACCAAAGACTGATGTGAATGGACAAGCCAACAAAACATGGTTGGTAGTTTGCACCACGCGAGCCATGCGCACCCACACTCACTTGCACAACACTACACCATCTCGAAGAACATCCTCGAAGGCGCCAGAAGGAACCGCCTGCCCAGTCACCGCACCGATCCAGTCAAGAGCTGCTTGTTCTAGTTCAGCATCGCGCTTGCCTGCAATCTATGATACAGGTGAAATGATTAGCAGCATAAATATAAAATTGAACAAGGCCACAAGGGAACCCCTGTTACCTTTCTTATTTAACACATACTTGCAGAGAATGACTCCGTCCCGGAGAACCTCTTCATACGGTCTGTCCATGTCAATTTTGTACGAGTCACCCAGCACGGCTTGTATCCATTCTAATGTTTCGCGCTCTACGGCCGGGTCCCGCTTTTTGTCAATCTTACAAACAAAAAATAAGTAAATAAATAAAAAGTGAAAATAAAAACGTATGAACAAAAAGGTGAAATTAAAGTCCAAAAACTCTTGCAGTCGATGTGCATCATTTAGCGTTCTACCATTTATTCTCCAAATCAGCAATTGGTTGTTTATTCTTTTCCGAACAGGATAAAAAAATCATATTATTTTAGCATAAGATCGATTAAAGAAGGTGTATATGATCTCCGGGTTCCTGTTCAGAAGAAGGGACTCAAATACGATAGAAATGAAAATAAATGGAACAAAAGTCAACTGAACACAAATAGGTATATAATAGGTATATACTCACAAAACCAAACTTATTACATTAAAATATAAAATAAATCTGTATGCTCAATATTGAACTCAGCTCTCAAGACATCCTTTTACATTTGCAATACTTACAGCAAAATCACTGACATTCACACTTTTGATAAATCTGATACAATATATGTAGAGTGTTTACGTACCGCATGTTATCAAACGTTAAAACCAATCTGAAACACCTGGAAACCTGTGCTCATTGTAATGAATTACAGCACAGTTGCTCAGATACATTAACTGAGACCGAAGCTAATCATAAGATAGGCAGACGATCGTAAATACCAAGCTTTCCCACATTCTAACCAACCTGCCAAATATGGCTCGACTAAGTCAAGGTGTTTCGTGTATAAAGTTAAAATTTGAAACTAAACGGAAGAGCAAAAATGCGTCCTGTCTTTAGCTGCATTAGGCTTTAGTTACTTGGGCAAGGGATATGCTGTTAATATGAACGTCTGTAGAATGTTCCATGGAGGGTTTCCACTTTTAAGTCAAAAATGATAGTTAAAATGTAATTGATAACCTTTTTTATTAGGACTGAGGATTACAGTTTGACTTTTGCCAACTCAAACACTAGTGAGTTAAGAAATGGAAACTATTCAACGTTCCTGTGCAAACATGGATTCTATTATATGGATTCCTTATGCCACACGTCCCCGGATTTTTGCTACAATTTGTGATTAAATCACATCCCTCTTAATCACGTAATGATTAGAGTACTAAGTGACCAGCCTGAAATAATTGCATATGTTTTTTTTCGAATGATGCATATAGACCTATATAAGAATATCTGATCTTTTTTCTTTCTTTTTTTTCAAGTCAAGCACAGCGTTTCATCTATTCTTTTTCAGTGAGGGGTACATACAACTAAGGATGAAACGTGGAGTTGTGATTAACACTCCTGACTCGCAGTGCTATACTCGTCTTGCTCGGTTAGCTAGTGAAAATTCGTAGCAGCTATATAAGGGAAGAACGCATTCGCGTGGGCACGAGCTTGGTCATTTTTTTCTTCCGTGAAGTGCGGTTTTCTACCTGAGGTCCCTATCATTCCTGATTGAGTGCCAAACATAAATTACAGCGGGTGGCCGAGATGCCTGTCAAGATGTCTGAGGTATGCCAGCTTTAGGTCTCTTTAGGGAATATCAATTGAATTATTCACAAATTCGAAATTGGGAATTTAAACATGGCAGAATAACAAAACTGGTGTCCAATATAAATACTTGGGCAAGATGATTCATTTATTTTTGGAATGATGGAAAATGGGAATATATTGATAAAACTGTGAGCATACACACTTTGCGAACTGGAAAAACAGCTTTTAAAAAATTTAGAGCATCACCGCCCTCTCTCTTTCATACATCATCAAAGTAAAAAACACGTAAGCTGAGACGAAAAGATCTGATTTGTTCTGCCTCCGCGGAATTCCAGGTAGACAGACATTACATTGCCCGCAGCTGGATAAACAGGGGGAAGCAAAGTTCAGCGTCTGGCTGGGAAATAGTTCCATCGCTATTTATCAATAAAAACAAAGAATAAACTTGCGCCTTCGTGTTTTTCAACACGACTGGTATCGGCTTAAGTATAAACCCACCTTCATTTAAACACAATATTTGATGTATAAATCAGCGCATGACTTGAGTGAACATAACAAAATTCGTATCACTTCTACAAAAAAGAATAATTAGCTCCACAAAAAAAGGACTAGGATATCCATTCTACGTAACTTTCGTTAATAGTAAGCACGTCGTTAAGACTATGAACAACGGAACTTATGGCACAAAAAATGAACTATTCAAATATCGATATAAACAAATATACAATCGGCAGAAAATGTACCTTGTTAGCAATGTCCCTGGCAATACCAGCGGGCTTGGCTCTACTATCTGAACTCATTTTCAAGGTGTAAATCCACGCGACAAAACGTAAAAATCGGGTAACGGGAAGGTTCTAGTCACCGGCTCTGGGTCCTACTCTGGCACTCGGCAGTTCAAGCTGATGGAAAGCAGTAGCCGGGAGAGCTTCCCTTTATAGCCAAATCGGGAGAAGCTACAACTAATGCATTCCGGGCCCTGGATCAGATTACCGCAGTTCGTGCATAATTTTGGTATGAGTGTGTACTGCGAATCAGCGCAGAATGGGCGTGCCTTACGTCAAATCTCGCGCGTTCTCCAACTCTCCTGGCTCTCCTGGGAGGAAAAAGGAACCATAAATGCACATGCCTTGCAATGCCCTCCTGCATTTGTAATCAACTGTGCCAGGCCAGAGACAATCACGGGGGAATCATGTTAATTGATTTATCAAAAACCGTGGGAATGTACACGAGGAAAACATCCCCGTGATGCTCCCTAGAAACTCTAGGAATCTTCACTACTTGGACAAAAGAAGCCGGGGTCGGCCTTTCTCAGGTTATTTTCAGTGGAGATGGGCGCTAGGGAGGCCTGTACGTGTTGTATCACTAAAGTACAACCAATAATTCTATTTGAATATTTTCAGTATTTTAATGCGTTCACTTTTTGTCATGCCCACTAAGATGAATTCACTGCGTGTGTAAATATATATTTGACATCTTTCTAAAGAAACAATAGACAGGCTGACAAGTATGTAATGCTGTACTCTTATTTTTGTACCGAAAAGACCTCGCATTTTTACTTAACTATAAGTCAATCATGCAATTATGAGAGCCTGGGATAGTTAGACTTCCGAAGGCAAAATATGATCATTATTTATCATCACGAGAAGCCATAATCGGATTGTTGTTATGTGATTAGCCTTTGTTATATTTTCCCTAAATATATACACCAATATTATTTAATGGAAGACACATTAGCCTCTAAATATTTACAAAATTGGAAATTAAAATTATTTTCTGGTTTATACAGGCCTCCTCAAGATAGGTGGCGTTTTGGTCTGGAAGATAGCGACCGCCTACTTCTGCCTGGATGTCTATTTTTAGGTATACTTAGTATATTCATAGTAATATCTAATATTTACGCGTATCTTCTAGAAAGCTGTGGTTTATCACAAGAAAGTGCTTCCATGCATAGTTTATGGCCGTATTTCATCAAACGGCGAGTCATTCGAAATAGACGGAAAAGGTATACTAGACCGGATTGGGGCGGTTAATTGGGTTTGAGTCACTTTGAAAGTCACCTTTACGCCATATACACAGGTGCCCTCCTTTTCCGGGATATGATTTTAATCCAAGTAGTATTTACTTCTCTTTACATGCCTATTTCCGGGATATTTATCTAACCAAGTCATATTTACTTCTCTATACATGCCAGACTTTGCTTCTGTAACAAAAGCGCCCATGTCGCGGTATGAGACCAATCTAAGAAATGAGCTCTTGGTGTAAATAAAGAGCAACCCGAGCCTCAGAAACATCTCACTACTTTTTTACTGTCAGCATTTCTCTGCTGCTTCCAGTATGCTGATATTAGAGAAGTGAGTGTCCAATCTGTGAAAGTTAGGGTGATAAGGAGTCATTTTTTAAAAGTTAGTAGGCACATTCTGTACCTTCAAGGGCGGATCGAGAATTTTCACCATAAGTTACAGTAGCTATAGGTTCTCCATTTTTGTACATCTTCCCCACCTCGCCAAAAATAATGTATTAAATGTTAGCAACTAAGACATTCCCTGTCAAATGAGATTTGTATTTTTGCGTTTGAAGGCTGCCAAAACCCAGTAATACAAAATATTACATCTTACATCCATTCTTTTGTCTCTTTTCTTGCACATTCCCCCTCCTGGATTTTTAGGTGTGTGTGTGTGTGTGTGTGTGTGTATGTGTGTGTGTGTGTTATGTAGGCCCTTGATTAACTTGATTTTCTTCCTCTAATTAGTATTTGGCCTTTTTATAATAGTTTCTACTGAATCTAAACCACCAGACAACATCTTCATCGGGAGCCTCGTTTATTTCTGGAATATTCTGTTTGTGGTAGAAATTGACATGATGCAAACATATTTCTCGCATTGGACCCACAGCTGCAAGCGCTATAAAGTTAATCACCTAAAGTGCCGTTAGTGTGTCGGTCACTTTCTAATTCCCTAGATTAACAATATAGGCCTAGAAATCAAAATAATAGGTGTTAAACAAAGTTTTGTTGGCAACTTTCCGAAAACGCACGCGGTAGACCTACTGTTTGCGTTGTTTTGAGTTTGCTAGTGCCTCTGAAGTCTGAAGCCCATTTTAACCTAATAAAAACAGGCTCCAGACAAGATGGTCCGTTCATCAGGAGCCCTCTATCTCCCCCCCCCCCCCCCCCCCCAGCATACAAAACTCTCCCTTTCCAAAATTCGGAATAGGCCTACGCCACTGTGGCTTCGTTCTTCGTTCCTTGGCGACTTTCCTTGAATGAACAATCTTTTGGAAATTCAAGTAGATTTAGGTTTAGTCATTCCGTTGTCGAATTTACGTAGGGCCTAAGTTAGAATTTCAGAAAGAGAGAAACGTTGCATAATTTACATTTCTCTTTCAATTAACTTGTAGCACTTTATATGCAATACAACACTGGTATGCAGCCAAATGCACGCGAATTTTTCTTCGATTGTGTTAGTTGAGATTTTCTCAAATTGTGCAAGATTAATTGGTAAAGGTCAAGGTCAGTTGCAGTTAATGCAGACGTCAAGGTGCGAATTAATTTTTGTTATTCTAAGCATTCTTATATTTTACGTTATTTTAATTGATAGCCAAGTGTTAAGATTATAAGTAGTGCAATAATATCATAGACTACCTGTCTATTGTTTTGTTCGAGAGGGACAATATTTTTGCGATTGCATAACCTAAAGCACGAGACTAGTAGACATGCACATGCCATGGTTACGTCCCGTTTCCCAGTATTTGTGAAGTAAGTAAATCTGATGCAAAACTATTTAAAGATAATATTAAAGTCAACAGGGGCGGATCCAGAGCTATTTTTTGACAGTCTTCCAAATTATCTTTGTTGATCCATTCTCCATTTTTGACCGTCTTCCGACAGAAAAAATAGATACAGTATATACCCGTCAGTGTAAACTTGAATATCTGACCGTCTTCCTGAAGACCCAGAAGACGGCTTCAATCCGCCCCTTTTAAACTATTAACAGGTATGTACTATATAGCTGGTAAAGATATGTCACAGCAGCTAATTATAAAAAATTGTGCCTTTCAGTAAATGAAGTTTGTTCCACTCAGTTTACCTGCAGCAAGAAGAGACATAGAAAGCCTGCATGAATTTCTTCTTCAATGCAAGAAGCTGTTTGTTTTGACAGGAGCTGGAATTTCTACCCCTAGTGGCATCCCAGACTACAGGTCTGAGGGGGTGGGCTTGTATGCCCGCAGTAAGGACAGACCAGTCCAATACCAGGACTTCCTCAAACATGCACATGTGCGGCAAAGATACTGGGCACGAAACTTTGTTGGTTGGCCAAGGTTTTCCTCCTTCCTTCCCAACAGTGCTCATCTTAAGTTAGCAGAGTGGGAACGATGTGGCCTTGTCCACAGCCTGGTCACACAGAATGTCGATGCCCTGCACTACAAGGCAGGCAGTCACAAAGTGATAGAGCTCCATGGCAGCTCTCACCGTGTGGAGTGTTTGCAGTGTAAGAGAATTGTGCCAAGAGTGGCCATTCAGAGACAGATTGAGAGAGACAATCCTCACTGGCATGCAGAGATTGTGGGGAGCATGGCTCCAGATGGAGATATACAGTTGTCTCAGGATCAGGTGAAAGATTTCAAGGTACATTAATTTTCTTTTCAAAATAAATATTTAAAAAATTATTTGTCAGCATCATAAAGACTTGAAGAAATCTGCTGATATTCAAATATAAATGTACAGATGGCATACAATGCCTCGTATGTGTTTGAAAGCTCATGTATTTGTTAAATGTTTTTCAAAACCAAAATTTCAATAAAAAAAGTGAATTACAGGAAAAACAAATATAACACAAAAGAGGAACATCAAAAAAAAAGTATATATATATATATATATATATATATATATATATATATATATATATATATATATATATATATATATATATATATAATATGATTGTGCTATCAATTAATTTTTTAGGTTCCTGTATGCAGTCATTGTGATGGAATTTTGAAACCCCAGATCATCTTTTTTGGGGACAATGTGCCAAAACCAATCGTTGAAAATATTTATTCAAGATTGACAGAAAGTGACAGCATTCTTGTACTAGGTTCTTCCTTACAGGTTGGTTTAGAATACCTCAGCATAATCATATGACACATAAAAGTATTTATAAGTGTGATAAATAGTATTTAGTATTCATTTACATAATAAAAATTCAGTTGAAATGAATAAATATTTGTCACTTGTGGAAAAAGCAAGATCAAAAATTAATAATGTTATTTATTGTTTTTAATGTGCTCATTTCAAACCATACGTGTATCTTTTTAGGTTTTCTCAGGATACAGATTTCTCAGGGCTGGCAAGGAACAAGGAAAGTCCATAGCAATAGTAAATATAGGTCCAACTAGAGCTGATAACATAGCAGATGTAAAAGTTGATGCAGAATGTGTGGAAGTGCTGCAAGAAATCACATTAAAAGATGTTGGGATATCATAGATTTTTTGAATTTTAAAATAATAGTATGACTTGAAATAAGTCATACTGATATATACTTATTGTATAGATAACTGGTATAAATGCAGCAGTATAGAGATTATGTTTGTTGTTAGCCAGTACATTATTTTGTTAAATGAAAGTGCATGGACTCTTGCAGTGTACAAGTGAAATGAAGTTTTAATTTATGAAGTTATAATTTAAATTGTTATGAATATATCATGATTGTTTTGAATTTGAATATCTTTATCAGTGTGGTAGAAAATAAATACATCATTATATATCCCATGATTGTTTTTTTTAAATAGCCATCAGTAAAGCACAGATTTAATCTCATCAGTATCATACAGTTTATTGGTTTGGGCTTGTGTTTTGTGTTAAAACAAGTGTGATTGCTTCATTGTGCCGGACTGATATTAAGTAGCACTTACAGAGACAAAAAGTAATATTCAGCAGAGGGCGCCTTCTGAGAAAGTACATGTACGATAATCTGGACTGTTGTAAATTATCTAGCAAAGTGTAGCAGTAATTAAAACGATATCAGTGGCGGATTTGGATGAGGGGGGGGGGGGCATGGTGGGTTTCTGAAAAGAATCACTAATATGCCCTCTTGAAATTAACCACGGGTCCCGAACCCTCAAGGGGTGCGAGGGTCAGCTTCGTATCCGAGGCCTGTCATTCCCAAAAAACGGACCCCCTTTAAATAATTCTGGATCCGCCCCTGGATGTGTTGCACATCACTCAGGCCTGCAGTATTTTACTGTCTGCCTGCGTACTCTCTGACCACGGGGTGCGCTAATAGTCTGTCACATAATTATTGTTTCGCTGAAACTTTTAAATTTTGTATACTATTTTCGGTTGTATTTTTAGAAGCCCCCTGATATCAGGGTATGAAGGTATGTTGAAAAATGCGCAGCTAGGATACGACCCTCAATGAGACATTGAGAAACGACCTGGGACTACAAGTAACCCGTTCTTGTCAGCCGTCTTGTGTTGGAGCAAATTTAACACCTCTTTCATTTTACTTGCTTCCCATTGTAAGACCAAGTAAATGATGGCAAAGATGACTTTGAACGATGTTAATTTGACAAAAATAACGGAGCGTTGCGTAAAGCAACGGGGAACGTATAAATGTGAGCAAAAATCGCTATCAGTTTTTTTTTTTTTTTGGATAGACCCCATCTCCACATTGTAAGGAGAAAGCATATCCTCAGGCAATCATCGGTTTGACAGAATGATATCTATTAACTCGCTGAATTTTTTTCTAATTTGTCTTTCTTGCTAGGTTTGCAAGTTGGTCGCTAAAACTTACTGACACAAAACTAATATATTTATATATCAGTTAAAATGGTGATGAAGTTCCTTGAATTAATACAAATAAAAAAAAATTACAACAACAGCAGAAAGGTCCTAAAGACGGTTTATGCGAGAAAGTAAAATGAGGCATGCAAAGATGTACTAGTAAGTGACTAGTTTTATCTATGTAAACAGCACTACACAAGACAACTTATAACATGTTATAAGACTGGATGAGATAACATCTGGTGATATCGCACTATGCCTACACCCGGCTGTACATAATGTTTCTTTTTGGGACGTGTTCTACATCGGTATGTTTTTTTGAGTACGGCAATACGAACATTTCGTCTTCAGAGGCTCATGACACGCGCTACACAGTGTAACACCCCGGCTTGGTTTGTCCAAGAATGCCGTGTCACTATCATCTAATGGGTAAACAGAGGTCTGCTCAAGCTCAGTCTTGGATTAAGAACGCGCAGCATGCACTTTACACCCTCTGATGGACAAAGTGAGTGGGACTGTAACAGTCGATCATTTTAAGGACGCGTGGCACATCTATAGCATCTGCACTACTGAGGACAGAGGGGTGTTAAGAGTGTATTTGTGAAAATGAACGGTCAGGCCAAAAATCATGGAGATCTTAACGACGAAAACAGAACCCTGGTGAACCAGGAATCACCAGATCAGAGGAAGAACAGCGGAACAAAAGCTGCTGACGCCACGAATGAATTGTACCCTGAGATTCACCACTTCGATGAGGTTTTGCAACATATTGGAAATGCTGGTCCATACCAAGTCAGGATATATTTCTTACTGTGTATGGTGGCCGTAGTGGAAGCCCTAACAGCATATGCGATAGTTTTCATTGAAGAAACACCGAAGCACAGGTTAGCACATTCGTATGATGATAGTCCTACATAAAGCTATTCGCAGGTTTAGGGAGTTAGGACATGTTATCTGTGTTAGGTCATATTTTCCTGAGCGACTTATGCGAATGGTTCAGTATAAACGCCAATGTCTATTTTACGTTGGTAATATCTATTTTAACTTTACCCCTGTCCTTAAAGGCGGAAAAGTGTTATCTTTTTCAAGTTGAGCTCACTTTTATGTTAAAAGCAAGCTTACTTTGCGCATGAGGCGATTATCAGTTTGGTCCTTGCCACTGTGCCAGTTGCACATCCTTCAACCTGTAGAAAGCGTTGTTATATGTTTCAAGGAGAGTTCCTTACCAAAGTTCAGAGAAGGTCAACATGTTTACGTCTTTTAAGGTTTACATTCTATTGTTGATGTCGCTCGACATATGACTCACATGCGAATAACTACATCAACAGCAGTAACAGATGTGTATTTTTATCAATTTTATTTCATAGTGTCCGCAATTGAAGAACATAAACAACAGTGGCGGATTT